TGTGTTTTCTCTCTCTCTCTCTCTCTCTCTCTGTGCAGCATTGGGACAAGACGGATTCCAAAGGGCGGGCATAGGGCGTTGACCTTTGAACATGGCAGCAACTGCTGATCAGGGGTTGAGGAAGAAGGTGTGTGAGGCGTCTTGGCAGGCTGGATGATAGGAATCGCACTTGGTTTCTTTCCTTCCCCCCGCCCTTTTTTACCTTTGCTGATCTGCGCTTCTTGCAGGCCTTGGATCTGCGAGGCACGTTGGAGGCGGCACTTGAGCATGTCGAACAACTGGATGCACTTCGCCTTGAGGTAGAGTGCGCGCCAGCTTTTGCCCTCTCCTTCTTCTTCTTTTTTTTCGGCCCTGAAGGGAAAGGGGTTGGGTGGTCACACCAAAGGCTGTTTGAGATAAGCCGATAGCGTCGCTGCTCCATCAACTTGATGCCGGTATTGTGCAGGCCGAGGCGCGCGCCATTCGGGCCGAGGGCATGCTCGCCACCAAGGATAAGAGGATTGAAATGCTAGAGGGTGCATTGCAGGAGGCAAACCAGCGCCAAACACGCGTCGGGGAGCAGTTACAACAGACGCAAGCCGAGCAACAACGTGCTGCCACCGAGTAAGCGAGGGCTGCTGCTGCAAAGAACTGCCCTAGCAATGTCATCGTCATTGAACCGTTGGCACTTGGCATGGCACCTTAGGTTGGAAGCAGTGGCCGCGCGCGTTGCACGTCTGAGTCTTGAGCGCGACCAGGCGGTGCAAGCGCAGACGGCTTTGCAGCGGCAAATTGACGATCTTTTGGCTACCCTCGAGGACTAGCAGGCCACTCGCCCGGATCTGGCACTCGCGCCTGGCTGTGCCGGCAATGCCCGAACCACTGTTGAATGGCCATTTCCTCCTGCACTTGAACTGCCCCCTACTCGGGTCTGCCTGGTGCCGAAGTCTTGCCTCTTTATGCATTAATGTGCGCACAAATCGATGTGCTTGATGACTTCTCTACAAGACCGCAAGTCTCGCTCCGACTTCAGAACGAGCTCGATTTTTTTTTTCTTATGATATCGCGGATTCAGCGGCGTGCGAGGGACATCACTGGGTTCTCTCAGCCCCGCCAGGAACCGTGCATGTGATGGCGGGCAATATTGCCAAACTGGAACTTGGCATAAGGATCGGGATAGAGAACGGTGATGTTTTGCTGCAGGTGCGCAGAGCCAACGTAGAGATGGGTCAGATAATCGGGTCCTGTCGAGGAAAAGATGTGCACGTCGCTGTATCGAGCACGAGGTTGTGCCATACGCTCCAACATCCGTGCAATGATGAGGAGCAGCGCTGGGTGGCGTGGTGGGCAGGCAAAGGCAAACTGGCCCAGCTGAGGAAACTCGCGTGAGCAATCAATCTCCGGGAAGTTCCAGCGGCCGTAAGGGTGCTGACGCTGGCACACATGCGTCGGAATATATTCCTCGTGGGGAAAGATGCACCCATCTTGGACATGCCAATTCAGGGGTTCGAGCGGTGCCAGTGGCTCCACATCCATGTCAAAATAGTACCTATTTCATGTCGTCGTGAGGTCAGCAAGCGGTCGGCGAAAGGAGCCGGTGGCTGCGAGACACCCAAAAAAAAAAAAAAAAAACTTGACCGAGTCTGCACGCACCCGCCGTATTGGTAAATGACAAGAAGTCGGAAGATGTCAAACTTTTGGATCCGTACGCGAGCTGTCACGGGTTGTGAGATCGCCGTGAGGAGACGTTGAGCCCTGAATAGAAGAATTTGTGAAAGCGCGCTCGGCAGTCAGGCGGCTTACGCTGAAGCGAGGTCAGCAACGGCGCATAGCGCGGGAACCGTGTTTGTATAAACGCATCCACATCGGCGTCATCATAGAGCACGTAGTCAAAGTCGGGATTAAGGGCTTGCCAGCGAGCCACGTAGGCGGCGAGTTGGGCCTGTGGGCAACCACAATGTTGCACGAATGGTAAACGAAAAGACTTCGTCAAGCCGGGACAAAAACAAGGCAGCGACCAAGGACCGAGAAGAGATGGCTCCGGGATTTGTGGGGTGATAAAGGATCGCAGGATGGCTTAGACTGAACCCACATCGAGAGGTTCCTTGGTCTTCCATGTCTGGACGATGCGACGAGGAATGAATGGCTCCGGGTCCAGTGCGGCCGGGGTCCACGCTAAGATGCCAATGACAGGGCGATGCTCGGTGAGGGTCGGAAGAAAGGTCCTTGTTTGTTGATGTGGGGCTAACGCAAACATGTGGGAGTGTACGCACGGGGTGCGACCGGGTCGGCCAAGCAAGCAAAGGCCTCGGGACTGTGTCGGCCTTGCACGGGACCGACGTCAAGCATAAGGAGCACGACAATGGGGGCGATCAGCACGGCGAGCGGCCCTGACCGCCACCCCGGACGTGATTGACGACACCGAACCACCGCCAGCCCCTGCATGGCCAACCCCAATGCAGCGAGGGAGCAGAACGGTACAGCCGCACTACCCTGACTATCACGCCCACTGGCCTCGCAAGCGCACCCCAATGCCCCTCCACCCTGCTGCCCTCACTCCTTCCGCTAAAGTCCCACGCGCTGCGCTCCACCAAGCATCAGCCCTCAACGTCAAAGGAGTACATCAACCCCTTGAACACACGCACACAAAGAGAAGAAGTGAAATGGGGAGAGAGAGAGAGAGCGAGCGAGAGAGAGAGAGAGAGAGACGCCGACGCGCCAGAAACAGCGACCGCGCGCTTAAAAAAAATAAAAAATAAAAAAAACCTCTTTCGAGAAGACACACACACACACACACACACACACACACACACACACACCGATCAAGACAAAGGGGGCGTAAAGTACTCAAAAGAAACATTTCATCGAAATAATTGAGAAGAAAGGGGTTGGCATGTTAATTGGCGAGAGGACTGGTGGTGGAAGGGTGCAAGGGGAGGCGCAGTGGAGGTGGGAGGGATTAATTGTGGGGGATGTGGCGTGGTCGGTCGTTTGTCAATTCTTGCATGGCCGGGATGGTGGGCGATAACTTTGCCATCGCGTGAGCAGATGAGTAGTCCCTATTAGATCTATCAGATTGCTTCTGCGCGCGAATGGGCCAGCGCTTAATGGTATTCCGATTGCTACCCAGAGGCCGAAGCCAGAAAGAGTCGGCCACAATTGGTCATCCATGTCTCAACCAAGAAAAAAAAACACCCCAGAAAAAGCCAAAAGGTGAGGGGGGAAGGAAAAAGATCGAGGAACTTGAATGTGGACCTACACCGGCGCACTCATCATCGGAGCTTGAACAAGTTGAATGCGGCGGCAATTCAGGTGGTGCTATGCCAACCGCCTTGAGCAAGAATAGCGCCATCCACATTGAGATGCGTGCCACTAATGAAGGAGGCTTGCTTGCTCACTAAAAACAAGACGGCTTGTGCAATCTGCGTGCACGAACAAACACGCAACGTGAAGATTTGGCGGTGCTCGTCTCGCCAGTTGTCGGGGTTGGTGCAGATCAAACGCTTACCTCCGAGGGCTGACCAACTCGAGATTCCAGGGGATAAATCGCCCCGGCCTGCTCCATGGTGGCACCCGCGCGCTCCACGTTGTGACGCACTAGGGGCGTGTCAACCTGCGAAGAGTACAGTGCGCCCCGTTGTTCCGGCCCGGCCAAGAAGTGAGCGATGGAAACATGTACGGGACGAAAGGTGAGAGGTAGTTGAATGAGGAGGGGCATCAAACTCACCGTGCCTGGGTTGACGGCATTGACGCGAATACCGTAGCGACCGTAGTCACAGGCCATGGTGCGGGTAAGGCTGAGGATGGCGCCTTTGGTGGCCGAGTACGCACCTACTGCCGGTTGGGACATGATACCCTGCACGCTAGCAATGTTGACGATGGCCCCACCACCCGTAGTGGGAATGGGCATGCTGTCGTGCACCGAGTTGATTGGTGCTGGGTCGGCGACAACCTGGGCCCGGTTGTGTTGTTCTATCATCACAGGTACCACCGCGCGCGCTAGTACATTGAAGAGTGTTGCCAGAAGAACGTGGAGTAAGATTTACTTGTACATGGTCAAGGGCGTCAAAGAAAGGGAAGCACGACGAGAAGAGAATCACTGGACTGACGGGGAAACAGGGGAAGCATACCGGTATTGTAAACGCCGTTGATGTTAACGGCAAGGGTGCGGTTCCACCAAACCTCGGGAATCTCATGCAGGGCCACACCGGCCTGGGCCGGTTGCACGGCGGCATTGTTCACCAAGACATCGATGCGGCCATGCCTGACACAGAAGGCGGGAGCGGCAAGCGCGTAGAGGGCAAGCATTGAGCGCGATCCAGAGAGCTCTGCTGCTACCCAAACATGCCCAGTGGCCCATGGTTCAACCTACCTGGCAACAATAATGTCGACGGCGGCGCGGACGTGATCAAACTCGGCCACATCAACGATGAGCTCATCCTCCTGCTGTGTTCGCTGCTCCAGAGGCGCCACATCAAATCCATAGGTCTTGTACCCCTCTCGGCGCAGGGCCTCGGCAATGGCGCCACCAATGCCCTGACTCGACCCCGTGACAATGGCAACAGGCGCATCACTACGCCTCCCACACAACCCCCGCCTCACTCCACCCAACCACCGCCCCACACCCCCTCGCATCACCCCCCTCCCCCACATGCTCTCCCCCCTCTCCCTGTCTCGATCTCAATCTCCCCCTCGATCTCAATCTCTCGATCTCAATAATTTCGTTTGAGTCTCTCAATCAAACTCTCTCTCTCTCTCTCTCTCTCTCTCTCTCTCTCTCTCTCTCTCTCTCTCTCTCTCTCTCTCTCTCTCTCTCTCTCTCTCTCTCTCGCTCTCTCTCTCTGGTAGTTGTGCTTTTCCTTTGTGTCTTTGCTCTTTATTTCTCTCTTTCTCAAACCGACCAAACCAATTCTCTCTCTCTCTCTCTCTCTCTCTCTCTCAAACTCTCAAACTCTCTCTCTCTCTCAAACTCTCAAACTCTCAAACTCTTTCAAGTTTAAACTTTGAAATTTTTAAAATTCGGGACCTTGTCAACTGGCACCTGGACCGGGATGCGGTTCCTGGGCCCGGAGCATGAGGTGCGCTTGAGGGATGGGAGGAGGGGGGTGAATGGTGAATGGTGAATTGTGGTGGTGGTAGTGTTTGGTCTAAAATGGGCGCTGGTGATGTAGGAGTTGGAGGCGGCGCCGCGGGTAGAGGCGGCGCTGGCACGGGCGGAGCGATTTTTCCAGCTGGGCGAGGGGCATGACGCCCTTGTCTTGGTGCATCGGACCGCGCCTGCGCTGCTGCAGAATGGCCCCATGTACGACGAGCGGCCCATCTCTGTCCAAGACGCTTGGAGCAGGCTCACCAGATTTATTTTATTTTTTATTTTTATTTTATTTTATTTTTTTGGACCGGTGCCCATTTGCCGGCATGCTGGTATTGTAGGTGTGGGATTACGGCGTTGGCCATGGCCAGCCACATCCTGGGTCTGACACCACATGACCTGCCCGGAATGGAAGCGACGGCAGCCCTGCGCGTGCAGCGAAACATTGACGAGGTATCGGCAGATCTGCTGGCACGAGCCATGGCGGCCAAATATACGGTAGAAGGAGAAATGTTTCGGGCCTCGGAGATGGGCGCGCTGCTTTCGAAGCGCTACGCGTGCGTGGTCAATTTGCAAACGGCATGGACAGCCCAGGAGCTCGTGGCAGCCATAGCGGCAGGCCAGTGTGTGGCCTTGCCCTATGATGCCTCCCCCAACCATGAGCCCGAACTGCGCGGGGGCCACAGTAGCCATTGGACCTTGATTGTCGGCGTTATCTTGCAGCGCCCTTGCCCCAGTGAGGCTGGAACGTCTCCCGTCGCAGGGTCCGTGGAGGTTCAGTTTGTCACGTAAGAGCGTGGAGACTCGAGCTGACCAAGGGCAAGGTGTGGAAAGATGATAGATATTGCGGCCGGGCTATGTGTGTGTTTTGATTTGATTGGGTGCTGTGGCGCTAGGCCGAGAAGCACGAAGCACGTGGCCCCCGAGTGGCTGGAGCACCCTGACCAGATTTTAGTCCTGGCTGCCCATGGCAAGAGCCGCCATCTCGTATGTGACCGCCTGCGTCCTTGCCAAAGAGGCCTTTGTGTGCACTTTGACCTGCGCGCGTGCACTGCTGCGAGTGGCTCATGATCAACTGTGTTTGAATACGGGGCCCTTTGGTCAGGGGGTATGGTCGTTGGCAGCCTTGCAAGAGAGCAACGCCCAACTTTGCTCCCCAAGCCAGCGCGACGTGCACCAACACCTCTCCCTACCAGCATCACTAGAAAAAGATTTTAATGGCACCGCCCTCTTCCTTGCCACTGCCAGCTGAGCCAATCGTCATCATCAAGGCAGAAGCAGGGGCGCAAGATAGCCAGATGCCCTCGGCACATCGGAATGAGAGGGAAATCATCTGCGAGATCGAGGACTGGGGAGGAGTGAGCGCACAGCGGAGAGACAGCTAGCTTGAACAAATTTTATTAGAATCGAAGTTAAACCTGTTCCAACAGGAAATATAGTTGTTTGGCATGACCAAGCGGGTGCCGTTGGCGGAACTTCCAAAAGATCGGCTGCCAGATCCGACCCCCGCCGCCTCCCGCCTCCCACGACTTGGCATTAAGGAAAGGGTGTGAGAGGGAATGGAATGAGAGAGGAAGGGCCGCTGAGACACATCCCATGTGGCAGACATCCATGATTTACACATCCGAGCAGAAGGAGGGGGCGGGGGGGAGGGGGTTCGTCGGACTCGTTTTTATCATGTCATATCAGTACAAAAAAACATGTACATGAGCAATTTGGCTTTTTCTAGAGGATGGTGATGATGAGGATGATGATGCGCTGGGTGGTGTGCGGCGTGGTCCTGGTGTTGATTCAAGCGGTGACGCATCATGTCGCCATGGCTGGACCCACGCCCACAGACGATCCCGTGCTGTACTCGGGCACAGTTGGCTGCTCGCTTGACGTGCCCACAAATGTGACGCATGTTCTCGGTAACATCACTTTATCCGTATGTGGCTCATTGACGGCACGGAGACTGAGCGTGTTTGACAAGCTCGTTGAAGTGAGCGGGAACCTCAAAATCGAGGTGGGTTGAGCACCATTGCCAGTTGTCGTAGATGCGCGGCCGAGATCGCGACGCTGTTTGCTTGTCTTGTTGCTTTCCCCGTTGTGAGACTTGGCGTTGAGAAGAATTGGCGAGCAACCCCGGATGGGTTCTGTGGTGATGGGTTGTCTCGTGTTGAGATTGTTTCGATGAGATATGGGAAGGAAGATTCAGGGGCGAGATGGGTGATGGGAGGTGGTGATATCAGACAGCATCGAGAAGGAATGGAGCTGGATTTGTTGTTGTTGTCGTTGTTGCCGCTCGAAGGGTCATCTTTCCTGAGAGCGAAGATATGCTCATGCGGTGTCAAACATCTTTTGGATCGATATGAGCTGCCCATGCCTGGCGTTCATCACATCGAAACATGGTACCACCTGCACTAACGATAAACTGTCAGTCTCTCACCTAACTGTTGTGCTGTGCTGGTGTGTTGGACAGAATAATATCGCCCTAACCAATCTCGATGGGCTCAGGAGCTTAAGAAGCATTGGCGGCTATTTGAATATTCGGGTATGTCATCAAACGTTCGACCTCTCCGATTGCATATGTGTGCGGAACAATGACATGATACGAGTGTCCCATTCGCTCATGGTCGTCTGTCGTACAGAACAATGAAGCTTTGACCAATGTCGACGGGCTCGGGAGCTTGACAATCGTTGGCGGCTATGTGGATTTGAGGGTATGTCATCACACGAGCGGCCTCTCCGATTGAACGAATGACTGTGAACTTGAGGAATTGGAGCGGTGGGCGCACTGCAAGTCTCTCATCTGTCTCATTCGCTCATGGCCCTCTGTCGTACAGAGCATTGGAGCTTTGACCAATGTCGACGGGCTCGGGAACTTGACAAGCGTTGGCGACTCCTTGAGTGTTTTGGTATGTCATCACATATTCGACCTCTACGGTTGAACGAATGCCTGTGTACTTGAGGAATTGGAGCGGTGGGCGTACTGCAAGTTTCTCACTTGCCTCATTCACCCACGGCACTCTGTCGGACAGTACAATCGCGCCTTGACCAATGTTGATGGGCTCGGGCACTTGACAAGCGTTGGCGGCTCCTTGGATGTTAGGGTATGTCATCACACGTTCGAACTCGACGATTGAATATGTGTACGGAGCAATGCCGTGATACGAGTGTCGTATTTACCCTCTGTCTGACAGATTAATGACGCCTTGACCAATGTCGATGGGCTCGGGCACTTGACAAGCGTTGGCGGCTCCTTGGGTGTTACCGTATGTCATCAAACGCTCGAACTCAACAATTGGATATGTGTGCGGAGCAATACCGTTATACGAGTGTCGTATTCACCCTCTGTCTGACAGATTAACGAAGCTTTGACCAATGTCGATGGGCTCGGGAGCCTAACCCGTGTTGGCGATAACCTGCACGTTCAGGTACGTCGTAAGAAATAATATTTTACTATTGTTCATCGATTGGATGCGCTTGTGTATGCGCAGTGATTTTGTGATTAACTCATCGGGTATGACCTGTGATGGACAGTTCAACCCCGTTTTGACCAATGGCGATGGGCTCAGGAGCTTGACAAGCATTGGCGGCTCCTTGGATGTTAAGGTTTGTCATAACACGTTTGACCTCTACGATGAAATGAATGAGTGTGCTCTTGAGTAGCTGGAGCGGCGGCATACTACATGTTTCTCATTTATCTTCATCCTCTCATGGCCTTCTTGTCGGACAGTACAATAACGCCCTGACCAATCTCGATGGACTCGGGAGCTTGACAAGCGTTGGTGGCTCTTTGGATGGTAAGGTTTGTCATATCATGGTTGGCTTCGATGATGGAAAATGTGTCTGCGCTGCAGCAGTGGCGCACCACAAGTTTCTCAGCTGTTCATTCGTCCATGGTCGGCTGTCGTCCAGCGCAATGAAGCTTTGATCAATATCGATGGGCTCGGGAACTTGACAAGCGTTGGCGGCGATTTGGATGTTTATGTATGTGATACGATTTTCGAATGCCACGATTGCAGGTGGATGTCTGTGCATGCGTAACTGTTATGATGGTTTACTTCCCATGTCTCATTCGTCCTGGGCCTTGTGCTGACAGTACGACGACAGCCTCACCAGCATCCCCTACAACGTCTGGTGGAGAGGCTTGGCCTACAGTGAGCCAGGGTACACTGAAATGACCGTTGCAACTTCATACATCCAGTGCGCCAGCAACCGAAGCCCCGATGCCCTTGACATGATCAAGTGCAAGTGCTTCGATCCACCCTACGAAGACGCCCCCTTTTGTCCCAAACCAGCTCAGAATGTGGTGTGCTCGTCCACTGGCAGCGTTCTCGACATTGTGCAAGTTTGCGATGGTGTTGATGATTGCCCAAATGGAGAAGACGAAGCCTCGTGCCGTGGTGTTCTGGGATTGCGCTCCGTTAGCCACGACCTCCCAAGCTTTCTGGATCGAGACTGCATCAGCCAGATCGAGCTGTGGGTTCAGCACGGTGTCATCCAATCTGTTGTACCTCAAGGCGCCGGTAATCACTCGTGCCTTTCCTGGCGCGGCGCCGTGCGCAACTGGGACGCCGCAGAGCTCTACTTTGCCCTCGGCAGTGCTCGGTACGTACACCAGACTATTTGATTTGAAGCATGTTCAGATTGAAAGCTTCAGACAAAGCCTCTTTTTGCATCATCACCTCTTCTCTTCTCTTCTCTTCTCGCCCTCTGCGCCCAAGAGCTTCTGCGCGCGCCCGCTGGTGCGATAGCTCGCCATGACCTGACACTCCCCACCACCTGGCCTCGGCATGTGTGTAGCATGTTGGTGACGGAGCGCCCGAGACCGTGGGTGGTGATGGCGGTCACCCTGCGCTCGATCAGCCCTCTGAGTGAGGAAGTGCCACTCCGTGCTGGATATCAACTTATTGAAGGCGCCTTATTCGGCCTCAAGAGCAACGGTGTGCCATTTGGCGCAGCCCCCACCCTGCCTTCGCTGGCAGGATTCGACACACAGTATACGACACAGGTTGATGGTGTCATTCCAACAACAACAGCAGCAACGATGACAACACTGGCCGCTTTGACCTCTGAATCAAAGGGCTCATCAGCCAACGCTTCATCTATGATTGTCGTCGTGGCAGTAGCGACGTCAATCACGCTGCTGGCCGTCGTCGCCGCGATCGCATACACAATGTTCCGGCGCACACGTCGTCGCATCGAGCGAACGGCAATGGAGAGTCAGGTCCTCACATTGATGCACCAAGCTCGTGCAAACTTTGCTGCTGCCTATCCTCATCTGCATTCAATGCCGCTTGAGCTGGTTGACTCTGATGCTGTCACTGTCGAACAAGTGATTGGCCATGGCCATTTCAGCAATGTCTATCGGGTATGTAGAGTGCTTTGCCAAGCACCAATTGCTCATGACTCGTGCGTCACCGTGTTATATCGGCTGCCTCTCGCAGCACGACCGCGACTTGTCTGACGCGCCCACCACATGTTTGTTCCTAATGCCCAGGCAAGCCTGGTAGATGCCGAACAGGGGTCACGACATGTTGCCATCAAGGAATGCGATGCCGACAAAACGACGGTGAGTCGCTCTTGTGATTTTGAACCAAAGCTGTTCCCAGGAACTTATGACTTCAACTTTCGGTCTCACCTGCTCGCGTGGGAATGACGCTGGGGGCGGGGGTGGGAATAGCTTTCGGCGTGGTTGCGTGAAATCATGCTTCTGCATAGTGTTCGTGATCAGCCCAACATCATTGGGCTTCACGGCGTGATGCTCAGAGTGTAAGTCGTGTTCTCTGCGCTGATGTAGTACTGGGTCTGTTGGCACAAGCTGACTGGCTGCTTTTGTGGGCTGAGAACACCTTTGTGCAGGGCCGAGCGATCGAATGTATCGGCAGTGCTCGAGTGGGCACCACACGGTAACCTCCGCGACTTTGTGCGAAGATCCCCGCTGAGCGAGGCTCAGCTGTATCAAGCCTTGCGTCAGATGGTCAAGGCTCTGGCATACCTGGCCAAGCTTGAAATTGTACACCGCGATATCGCCGCGCGGAATGTGCTTGTGATGGCGGTCAACCCAGCGTTCAACTGTAAACTGGGCGATTTTGGCTGTCAGTTGAGAACCGCCCTCCTTGTTTGTTTGTTTGGTTGGTTTTTCTTATTTCTTTCTTTCTTCCTTTTTTCCGTTTTCCCACCAATGGGGGGGGGGACTTTGCTGGCTGTCTTGTCATGGTCCAGTGCGTCCCATATGTGTTGCACTTTGGCCGACGTATGAACCTTTGTGTGTGGATGTACGATAGTGTCTCGGGTCATGCCAAGCTCGGAGTATTATCGGAGTGTTGCAGACAGCGAGATGCCCTTCCGGTATGATGTGCCCAGCTCGCGTGGAACCTGGCAACGTAAAAAGCCACGACCCCCTCCCCTGCCTTACGCTCCTATCCCACGGCTCTGCTAACATCTCGATCATGCGCGCACAGATGGATGGCACTCGAGTGCTTGGTGGCACGGCGATATTCCAAACACTCGGATGTTTGGGCGTTTGGTGTCTTAGTGTGGGAGCTGATCACTCATGGCGCAACGCCTTGGCAGGGCTTGAGCCTTCCTGCCATTATTCAGCGGGCGTCACACTGCCTCTCCCGCCCGGAGCTCCGGTGATCGCACAGCGGTGTGTCACCGTAGCATGGCATTCCTGGTGCGTTTCTAGCTGTGCTGAGCTTGTGGCAGTCTCATAAATCCATTGACATGTGTGCATAGCATGGTTGCGGGCTGCTTTCAAGCCGCTCCAGAATCCCGATCTTCGTTTGCCGAGTTGCTCGAGTTGCTCGAGTTGCTTCCGGCCCAACACAGCACCGCCGCCTGGGTGAGTACCGCGTCTCGAGACTGAGCGTGTGGCCGATCCCTTTGTCTGCTTGCCACCCTCACATGTCTTTCTGTCTCACGGGCACCGTGCCCCGCGCCCTGCTCCGGTCCATGCTTCTGTCGTTCATTTTGTGGCACCAATAGACGGTGGCCAATGCGTTGGCCTTGCATGACGAAACCGCGCTATAGTGCCGACGCTGCAAGTCACGACAGCGGGTTGAGTGGTTGACATCCAGTCGAGAGGCTGCTGTTTTGAATCCGGTCATCGAGCCCAGCCACATCCCATCAGCCTCTCTCATCTGGTTGACATCATGGATCATTTCCCCCTATGAAGGAGGAGGTCTCTTGGGCTCGATGGCAAACAACCGAGAATGTCGTTTCAAAAAGCCAAGTCAGTTGATAAGTAAAATACTAAATTTGGTGTCTTGCCTGACCCCATCAGCATCCACCCACACCACCGTCACGAAATGGAGACGAAATGGATAAAATTCTGTGGGAAAGGAGACGACATGACATTGTACACGTCCATTGTCCCTCAACAACAACACGTTCAGACGCATGTGAGCCTGTTTTGGCCTAAATCCTCCTTTTGCTTGGTGGTGTGTGCCTCTCTCTCTCTCTAAAGCTCTCTCTCTCTCTCTCTCTCTCTAAAGCTCTCTCTCTCTCTCTCTCTCTCTCTCTCTCTCTCTCTCTCTCTCTCTCACTAAAGCTCTCTCTCTCTCTCTCTCTCTCTAAAGCTCTCTCTAAAGCTCTCTCTCTCTAAAGCTCTCTCTAAAGCTCTCTCTCTCTCTCTCTCTCTCTCGTCTGTGTTGTGACACCGCCCACCGCTGGCGCGCCACCAGAAGGAAGGGAATGACTACGGCGTTGGGGTGGCATTTTTCAAGCACATTCTTCTCTGACGACGTGGACCTCAGTAGCAACTAGGTATGCCCCGCCCCCCCTGGTCCCCCTCCGTCGATGGTCCTGTGCTGAAAGCTCAGATTGCGCCTTTTGATCCGTCCTCCCACAACAGCGCCATGGGTATCTTTTCTTGGGCTGTGCAAGTCTCCACTGACCAGGTGGCGGCGCTGCGCGACATGGACGCCAGTGCCCTTTCGGACTTTTTGACTAGCGACGATCTCAAGACCCTCTCCCTCGACCCAAAGACGATGGTCCGTTCTCCGCCACACACACACACACACACACACACACACACACACACACACACACACACACACACACACACACACACACTTGCTCTGCCGAACCCGCGCTCAGCCTTTGTGGTTCTTCCTTTTCAGAAACCAGAGTCGGATGACTTCAACCGCCTGGATCTCGACAAGGCCGGGCCAGCCTTGACCTACATCTTCTCCAGTAGGTGCCTTGATCGGTCGCCTCGATTAAGCACCACCCACCCCACCCTCTGCACCGTTGCCACAATCCCAGGCCAGCCCGCTCACGGCTTTGGTGTTAGCCCGTTTCCCAGACGCCGTCAAGGCCAAGTTGGCTTCAGCCCACGCCCACGCCCGCGTCTCTGATACACGTGGCCGCCACAACAAGGCTTACACTGTACGTTATGATCCCATATACCTTCTGTTTTTGTTTTGTTTTTTGTTTCTGAATTGCCGCCCCCTTTTGCGCCCAACCCGTCTCAGCCTGATCCAACCGAACCTGCTGCCCCTTGTACTTCACCGCCAGTGTGCTGTCAGCACGAGCAGCAAGCCCTGTTACACTAGCAAGTTTGGCTCTGTCGGTGCTTGCACCGCGCCGGGGCGCTCAGACGAGTACGATACCCCGGCCCAAGCCATGGCTGGGGCCGAACACCTTGTACGTAACGCCGCCCCCCCCCCCAGCAAGCCCCATCGCCCCCTCAAACGCTCATTCTTTCGTGGAATGCCACCCTCGCGGCTCAGATGATGACCAAGATCAAAAAGGGCTACAAGATCGATCACATGCCCGGCATTCGTGGAGTGCAACACGCACACTCGCGTCGACTTGTTCAAGCCAATGATGTGAGCCCGGCCTCACACCTGTCCCCTCGGTCATGACAATCATCATCTGCCAACCTGCCCTCGGTCACTTTGAAACCACATCAAAATCACATCGAAAGCTCATGTCCTCGCTTCTCCTTCACATCCGCAGCCCAGCGGCGAGCCCCTGCCCAAGTACCGCAAGCTGGCGCCCGAGCAGCTCTTGCCCCTAGACGAACGCTTTCAAGTTCCGGCCGAGAAGCTCAAAGCCGATGAGCTCAAGGAAAGGCTGGCCGCTGCCTTTTTGCCCACCGAAGGCACCGTCAATGTCCTCCGCATCCGATACATGCTCCACCTGGGCACGCAACCCGTCTTTGGGTTCCAACCCTTTACCTTTATCAACTGCGAATATGTGCCCAGCGAGCAGCTTGCAAGCCCTTTTATCGCCCCCGCCGCGCTCCTCCTACCTGCCGACGTGGCCAAGGTGCAGGCCATGCTCAACGACTGGCAAGCCGCAGACATCGCCCCGATTCTTGCCACCGAGGAAGCCGCCAAGGGCATTATCGATCACGCTTACACAACTGCCGAATACTTGGAGCTTCACCTCGCTGCCCTCAAGGTCTTCATCGACCGCGCCGTCGAGCGTCAAACCGCCCTCATCACCTATCTCAACTAGGTCTAGGTTCAGCGTTTGAGTCCCCTGGACTCTCGTGTTCTTTTGTCTGTTTCTGCGCTTCTTCGCCGTGCCCCTTGTCCCCATCCTTGTTTTATTTTTGATTTTTGATTTTTTTTTGTTTGTTTTTGGGGGCTTTCGGCTTTGTCGATTCGATTCAATTGACGCGCTAGTGTCTATCAAGCTTTCCTATCAAGCTCTCGTTCAAAAAGTCCAAACAAAATCGAGAAAAGAAGATGAGGAGGCTTTCACGGCACCCGTTCTCGACTATGCCCGTTTTTGATTGGCAAAGCTTGCTCCTCGCTCAAGACGACGTCGAGTGCCAGCCAGATGGCCATAGCAGAGCTGACGTGCCACAAGGCATGGCCCTGAAGCCAGCTATCTGGTTCACACCAGAGGCGGTGAATATCGAGCTCCTGTGCCACCTATATCCGGTTCAAAACAGCAGCAGCGTTTAGGCCTGGGGCGACGTGTTGCCAGAAGAGGCACGATGCGTAACAGCTAGCCTCACCTTGCCAAAAATCAAGGCCGCCAGTGCCATGCCCAGCCGGTCGAGCCGGCGTCCTACGACCTGCTCGACATGGGCGTCGGTGATTCGGACCAACAAGTTGGGAACCAACAGCGTGCCAATTTCCCTTTTTTCCATGGCTCACCTTGATCTGACGGGTGAGGTAAAGATGTAGCGCGTAGCAGGCCAACATGCCCACCACAAGCGTGGTGACGGTTAAATTCTCCGAGCGGTGGCAGAGTGGGTCTGCATACCGATACTGAGAGAGCTGCCACAACACTACGGGAGCCGCCATGCCATGCAACAGGAACCACAACTGGCTTGCTTTTGTAGTGACAATTCCGGCAGTCATCAGGGCACGCATCTGATAAAAGCCGAACAAGCCTGCCACCGTCCAATACATGCCAAAGACATCGGCCACATGCCCTGGAAAGCATCGGCACGCGTGATTGGCAAAGGATCCAGCCGCATGAAGGGCATTGATAGCCGCATAGGCCAGAACGGGACCGCGCATCCTATGCTCAAAGCTCGAGACTCGGCGACCGGCCTTTGGGCTGTAGAGCCGGAGCGCCCGGCGTAGCACCAAGGCAGCCACCTATCAGCAACCCCACCACGAGATACACGACGATTGTCAAGCACAAAACAGGAGCGCGCCCAGACACGGCAGCCCATTGCCAGTGATTTGGTCCTGGTGAGCCAGGCGTTTGGACAAGTCAGACGAGTAGGCAGTTGGAGAGAGCCACGCACAATCAGATAGGCGAAATCTGTCAGGGCGTTGGCAGGCTCTCGTAGGAAGCGGTCATGGTGATCATGCTCACACCATGGACCTGTTCACACCCGCACAGACGGCATTGGAAAGCCATCAAAGTGCGGAAATGAGCTGCGACGCCAGAATCAAAACAAAAGTGGCACGGGCACACCGGTCTTCAAGCATCTCTCCCCACCCACCACAATGACACAGCCCAACACCCCGCACCTGGATCTGCTTCAAGCTCCTGCCACCAATGCCGAGTATGCACCTGCGCCCCCCACACGCCCGCCGCCGCCAGAGCCACCATCGCCGCCGGCAGCCCGTCCATCACCAGCGTCTTCATCGCGTTCTGTCCAGTCCGCAAATCCGACCCAACTCAAAATAAAACTATTTTACTTTCAAACCAACACAAACTTGTTAATTCCACTGCCCACATGTTATCGTTGTTCAGAAAGTATTTTCTATATTTAAGCAAGTCATGGCAGTGGCGACGGCGACGGCGACGGAGCTGGTGCTGCCCAACTGCCGGCTGGTCGAGGCGTGGCGGCAGTCGGATCAGGCGTTATCGCCGCAGCAGGCGCAGGATGCCGTGCGGCAGGTGACTCGACGGTTGGGGGAGATTGACCCCATGCTAGCGCACATGCTGGCTGCCAATCTGGTGCGGAATGAGCGTCGCAACTTCATCAACCTTCGGTTTCGCCGCGGGCGCTTCAAGCTCCTCTTCCGTCGTCGGTTACCAGAGCAGCGTGGCTTTATCTGCTTCTTCCTCTGTGACAACTTCCAACCCATGGTGGAGGTCTGTGTGCTTGATCCCGCCCGCGGTGAACTGCCGATGTGGGCCGATGTGCCTCGGGATGAGCTGCACGCGGCGCTCGCTACCTTTCAGCAACAGCATCTCCAAACCTCCCAGCACCCTTTGAGCTTCCTGACCGCCCCGCACCCGGATGCCCCCCGATATCCCAGCCTTGATGCGCTCATGGCAGCGCCGGCCGCCAGCCAACCCGATGCTCGCTTCTCGGTCTTTATAGACATTGGTCTGGCTGCGCTTCGCCTTCACATTAAGCTTCTCCAGCTTGTTTCCTTGTCAGACGTGCAGACCGCCAGCTCCATGGCCCACACCGTACCCCTCGAGCGCCTGCGGCGCCAGCTGCGGGGACTTAACCCTTTACTTGGTCACATGGTCTTTACACGCGAGGTGGTCCAAATACAGCCCCGCTTCCTAGCCACCGTCTTTGTCCAGGAACTCGAGGGTGACGTGTACGAGTTTCATCTCTCGGAAAAGATTGAACCGTACGTCATCATCATTGTCATCAACCCCTACGCTGGCAAGCTTGCCTGGCTCAATCGCCAGCAAGTGGCCTGTCTGGAGCGAAGCATTGATGCCTTCAAGCGCAAGTACGGGATTCATGCTGAAGCCTATCACTATACGTCCTTGCGGGAGCGTCAGGCCACCGATGCTTTTGTGCGTGCCGGCCATGCTCCGCGCACGAGCAAGGCCCACTCCTCCGATTTTCATCTCAAGATGCGCGTGGCCACCGCCATGCTTCGCGATCGCCTCCCCGCCCTCTCCCTCTTCGACCTGGACAAAGCCCGACGTGAGGTCGAGCCCATAACCTACAACTTTAGTCGTGACAATGTCGGTTGGCCCGACATCAAGGCGGTTCTTCTCACCGAGGTGGATGGTGAGTGTACATAATCGAAACTTCTAAACCAACCAACCCCCACCCTCGTGCAGGCCGCCTCGCTGGCATTTCAGCTTGAGAAGTGCGCGGAAGGCGCTCACAAAGTTCAAACATGACCCACATGTCCAAATATTATGTAATTCCAGTACTATCAATCCCTCGGCACCTTGTCCTGCCAAGCTCAAAATCAGACCGCATCCCAAGCAACAATAGCACCCAACAACAACGACGACAAGCAAGACAGGGCGCGGGAACAGGGTGGGAGAGACGAAGGAGAGAGTCGTGTACTTTTACTCAAACAACACCTTCACATGTCTACAAGAAGCAAGCTAACATATAAAAAAAAAATATGGAGAAACCAAATGGAGTACACACATTGACAAGGTCCACTAGTGCGAAGTCATCAAGCTGCTGCGCTCGTCGGGCGGTGGCCCATTGACAATGTTGGCTTCTGTATCACATAAAACATGCACAAATCGACGTGAATGCAACTGCCTTTCTAAGCAGGCCAGCAAGGGGCAAGCAGCAGAGGCATGGGGACAAACCGAGGTTCATCTCCAAGATTCGCCGCTGATTCCAGTGGTTAAAGGTCCATAGCAACACAGACGACGGCATCACCTGCCATGTCGAGGAGCATGAAAAGGGCATGTGCGTTCAGACGGGGCAGCGATGGGAAGCAATGTACGCAGCAGTCACAGGCGAACCTCAAAAAAGAAGAAGAAGACTGCGGTCCACGCATAGTAGGCGTTGAGCTTGTCATCATGCTGAAGTCGGTTGAGTTGAATCTGTCACAGCAAGGCGAATGAGATGATGTGGGAGAAAGGCAAACGAACAGAGAACTAGGGCGGCATAATAGGCGCGCACCTGGAGATCATTTGCATTGGCACTGTAGGTAATGGACCAGATTGTGCGGATGGCAAAAATGATGACCCACAGAAACAAGAGTCGGGTTACCACTTTGAGCTGCCACGTATGGAAAAGGAGATGTTGAAGACAGGACGACGAATGAGCATTGAAGAAAGGCCTGAAGCTGACAGTGACGAGGTTCAGGGCCGATGAAAAGCAAGTAGCGAGTGACGGGACGGGCACAAACCTCAGCCAGCATGGCAGAGCTCAGAATAAACTTGAGCAGCAAGCTAAGCAGCCCACCGACAGGCAAGCCAAAGACGTGTGTAAGCGGGTGATGAGCGAGCATCCAGGCAGGGTCACAGTACGTTCTCAAGAGACTGACGGCCGGGCATGCACATTGCCGGCACAAACAACGATGTGGAGCGTACCGACGCAGTTGGAAGCCGGCCACGCCCAGCGTGACCGTCAGGGTTCCAAACACAATGGCCGACAGGAATGAGATGGGATGATCAAACCCGCCCGAGCTGGAGTGACCCTCACTGTTGAGCGGCGCCATGAAGGGCAGCAAAGAGACGTCAGGGTTGAATTGGCAGGCCGAAAATGGTGCATGGAGCCAGGACATGGTGCGACAAGCGTACGCACCATCTTCCCCGGGAGCAGAGGGTATAGAAGAGGCTCATGCCTGCAATGAGAATGAGCCAGATGATGACGGTCCCAATGTAGAGCCACTTGATAAGGTGGGCCTTGAGTTTCATGAGCAGCCAGAGCTGCATCAAAAACTGGACCAGCAACGAAAACCTGCAGCAGATAACAGCTGGTCAAAAGGTTGCGCCGGACGCGGCAAAGCACGGGTCTCCTTGGTGGCGGGTTCGGAAGAAGCCCGGGCTGGCTCGTACGTGACAAACTGCAGGCAGATGGGTACGGCGTAGCCCAGCACGAGGAGCGATTCCATGGACCAATCCACTTTGATCTAACCATCAGCAGCGGGACAGGGGGACACTGCATGAGCACTTGAACGTGCTGGGGGAGCGGTGAGAAGGGGCACAAGCGCGGACCGTGAAAAAGAGCGCCCTCTCGATGCAAAGGATCATTTGCAGGGCCAGCAGGGCCGTCTATTTGCCAGACCAAGTGAGGATCAAGGGATGGTTCTGATGTATATACAAGGGATGGCGGGCATGGGAGCATGTCCGAGCGCCAAGCATGCTCGTACGCGATAGGTTGCACGGCGAGTTCCTTTGGCCATGACAATGGCCGATACTCCGACCACGGCCACGTATGCAATCACTAGAAGGTACGAGTGATCGCATCGGATTGCGAGGTGAGAAGGACGGAAACAAAAGTGTTGATAGCAGGTGGTCTGAGAGAAATTATAAACACGGTCAAAGGACGGCGGAAATGAAAACAAAAAAAAAAAAAAAAAGCGAGAGAGAGAGAGAGAAACGAACCGATGATCCAAAGAGCCGGGGCCCAGGGGGTGGACATGAGCGTTGGACACATGGTATCGCAGTGCACATTGGAATGATTGCCGTGCGGCGACGCCTGCAGAGGTCGGTCATCAAGGTGGCAAAGGACCGGGGACACGGCCCAGCACGGCAGAAGACGGTTGTATGAGTCGGAGCGGCACCAAACCAAGTCCAGCCCAACCGAGCAAGGGTGGCTCAATACGCAGAAGAAGTCGAGAGGCGAGAAAGAGGAGGGACGACCGGCAGCGATGAATGCATACGTGTGCCAAGCCGTAGTACATGATGCTGGTCTGGACGCTCTCCTTGAAAAGCAAGTATTTGCGGGTCGGCGCGGCCCGGACAAGAGGGCTTTTACGCCCGCGCGCAATCCCGTCTGCACAATTGAGAGAATACGCTTGTCACGCTTGAGGCAAGATCGACAAAGTTCCCAGGACAGCGCTTGCTGGCTTATTCCCAAACGGAGAAAAATTGTGCCCGACGCGGCCCCCAGCTTCAAAGCTCAATCCTGGAGCACGGCACTTTGGAAAAAAAACTGGAGGCGCACCCCTCCGGACAGCCCACGAAGACGCGGTGGAACAGAAACGAACGCCCACCTTGACCTCCCACGGTCAGGATCAATGCGTTTCCCGCCTATTCCCCCCGCAATCTCACACACGGCAAACACACAGCGCACCAACGACCCCCTCAACGACGGACTCGACGCATAAAAAAAAATAAAAAAATAAAAAATCAAGTGTGTGATCAAGATGACGCGCACTGTCACTCTCTCTTTAACTCTCTTTAACTCTCTTGAACTCGCGTGTCTCTCTTGAACTCTCTCTCTCTCTCTCTCTCTCTTGAACTCTCTCTCTCTTGAACTCTCTGTCTCTCTCTCTCTCTCTCTCTCTCTCTCTCTCTCTCTCTCTCTCTCTCTCTCTCTCTCTCTCTCTCTCTCTCTCTCTCTCTCTCTCTCTCTCTCTCTCTCTCTCTCTCTCTCTCTCTCTCTCTCTCTCTCTCTCTCTCTCTCTCTCTCTCTCTCTCTCTCTCTCTCTCTCTCTCTCTCTCTCTCTATCTCTCTCTC